ACTCCGGCAAGCAAACGACACGAGTGTCGCCCAAATAGCTGCGCTTCAGCAGCAGACTCATACGCTGCACACGGCCATGGCCAGGCTAACGCCACAACCACCACCAGGAGAGGCTGCGGCACCACCTCCCACCCGGAATTTACCTCCGGTTCACGAGCCTCCAGCCAACGAGACACCACCCGACGGGGCTCGACCTAGTGAGGCGCAGCAGAAGCAAGGGACGAGGTCCGAGGCGGTTGCTTCGGATAATCTCCCGCATCGCACACAGGACGAACAGGCCGAGTCCAGCCATAGGCTTACAGTATGGTCCAATGGCGTTCCAGATGGCGCACGTGTGCAAGATGCATTCGATGAAAAAAAGCTCTTGAGAGTCCAGACACCAGCCGAGATGGCTAGAGAGCACAAGAACTCCTTGGTCAAGACCCCCTTTACTGACGAGGTGTACCTTGTGGAGAGGCCGAAGAAGTTCACTATGCCATCCTTCACCCAGTTCGATGGGGCAGGCGACCCTTCTCGGCATCTAGATCATTATGCGCAAAAGATGGCATTGGACGATCATAACGATCCGTGGATGTGTAAGGTTTTTCCTACCAGTTTAACCGGAGCAGCGTTAGAATGGTTCAGGAATAGGCCACACAAGTCTATCCCGGACTATGAGACCTTGTGCACTATGTTCTTAGCCCAGTATTGCGGAAATAAGAAGCAGAAGAAAAGTATCGCCAGCCTTTTCACCATAAGGCAAAGGAAGGGAGAAACTCTGCAAGATTTTTTATCCAGGTTTAACATGGAGGCCTCGGAGATAGCAGATTGCCATCCCGCCACGGCAATCGAAACATTTAAGCTGGCAATGATCCAGGGAACCAAGTTTCACACGTCATTGGTCAAATATTCCCCCCCGGATATGCAGACTTTGAACGCTAGGGCACAAATCTACATTCGGTTGGAGGAAAACGTAGCTCACCGTGCACAGCACGCTACCCTCGTCATAGTAGAAAACAAGTCTCGAGAGAAAGCTGCAAGCACAAGGGGGCAGAAGGTTCCTCATACCGCCACACAAGTCACCCAAGCATCTGAGAAAAGGCGAAGGACAGAGGACAGGCTTTCCCCTCTCTGTACTACCTTGGCGCACTTATTCCAAGAGAATAAGACGAGGTTCGCGACTCCTCAGCCCATGAAACAACCCTTGGAGCAGAGGGACAAAAGCAAACATTGTGCCTACCATAGAGATTATGGGTATACCACCAATGACTGCAGGTCCCTACAGCGACAGGTAGAAAGCATGATAGCGCGAGGAGAATTGGTGGAGTATCTCGCTACGAAGGAGCACGTCAAACCTCGGGAGGTTAACCCTCGACGGGTAGAGGGCGGTCAGGTAAAGGTTATCCATGCTATACACGGAAGATCGGAGGATGATGAAGAATCTGAAGAGTTGTACAGATCCAGGCTGCGAGAGGCTCATAAGTTACGCAGGTTGTCTTCGGTAAACACAGTTGCACCAGGCAGCATCAACATTGGATTCAGTAACAATGACCTTTCTAGAGTCCAGCGCCCGCATGAGGACCCCTTGGTCATCAGCCTCCTGGTAGCGAATTACATGATCAGGAGAGTGCTGGTAGATCCGGGAAGTAGCGCCAACATCATTACAAAAACAGCTTTTGATCAGTTGGGGATTTCACCATCATCCATCAGGCCAACTTCCGGCCCCCTAATGGGCTTTGATGGTACTAAGGTGAATCCGCTTGGGGTGGTCGATCTATCCGTTACTGCAGCAAAGAGAACTCTAAAGGAAAACTTCGCCGTGACAGAGATTCATCCATCTTATAACCTCATTATGGGAAGAGGTTGGATCCATCGTATGAATAGAGTCTCTTCTACACTTCATCAAGTAATGAGGTGTTTATCCCCGGATGGCAGGGAGGTCATCGACCTCTGGGGAGACCAGGTTGCTGCCAAAGAATGTTACATGCTAACGTTACACGAAGCAAAGAAAGCGTCGAAATCACCTCAGTCAGAGGCGAATCCCAAAGACGCAATCAAATAGCAGCTACAGTATCCTCTACCCAAGTATCTCAAGGCAGAAGAAGAAGCCGAAGCTGAAGCACCTACCGAGGAGTCCCTCGAAGCTGTAGAGGTAGTCCTCGGAGACCCTCAGAAGATCACCTACATTGGCGCATCTTGCACAGCCGAAGAGAAGGAAGCATTGATCAGGGTTATTCGGTGCAATTCGGATGTCTTTGCCTGGGATCACTCGGATATGGTGGGGATCAATCCTACAGTCTCATGCCATAGTCTGAGGGTTAACCCAGAATTCAGGCCAGTCAAACAGAGGCACCGACGGTTCGCACCTGAACGCAATCGCATAATAGCCGAGGAAGTGAATAAACTGTTACAAGCAGGATTCATTCGAGAGGTGCAATACCCACAATGGCTCTCGAATGTAGTAGTCGTTCAAAAGAAGAATGGGAAATGGAGGGTATGCGTAGATTATACCAACCTTAACAAAGCTTGCCCAAAAGATAGCTTTCCTCTGCCCAAGATTAATCAAATGGTGGATACTACGACGGGTTATGAAAGGCTCACATTCCTTGACGCATACTCCGGCTATAATCAGATTCCCATGAATCCTGAAGATGAGGAGAAAACTGCTTTCATCACAGAAACGGGCACTTACTGCTACAGAGTGATGCCCTTCGGTCTAAAGAATGCCGGAGCCACCTACCAGCGACTTGTCAATAAAATTTTCAGTAATCTGCTGGGCAATACAGTTGAAGCCTATATCGATGATATGGTGGTTAAAAGTATACGGAAAGAGGACCACCCGAAGCACCTCCAGGAGGTCTTTGATACTCTCAAGAGATACAATATGAAGCTGAACCCCACCAAGTACTCCTTCGCCGTTTCGTCAGGACAGTTCCTTGGGCACGTCGTAAATAAAAGAGGAATAGAAGTAAGCCCAGCACAGGCAAAGGCACTCATACAGAACCAGGAGCCGAAAACTCGCAGGGAAGTGCAAGTTCTAACCGGCCGAATTGCGGCTCTCAGCCGGTTCATATCCCGATTATCTGATAAGTATAAACCTTTCTTTGATGTTATTCGATCCAAAAACAAAGATATGTGGGGACCTCAGCAGCAGGAAGCTCTCAATCAATTGAAAAGCTACATGGCAAAACCCCCAATCCTTTCTGCTCCAACGCCCGGAGACACTCTCATCCTGTACCTGGCAGTATCAGCTGTAGCAACAAGTGCAGTGTTGATCAAAGAAGAAGACAAGGTTCAGCACCCAATCTTTTACACAAGCAAAACTATGACGGATGCCGAGACACGGTACAGCAAGACAGAAAAGGTAATCCTGGCGTTAATTTATGCCAAGAGGAAACTTCGACATTACTTCGAGTCTCACAGCATAGTGGTACTTACAAATTACCCTATACGGGCTATCCTAGCTAAACTAGACCTGTCTGGTCGAATTACAAAATGGGCTATTGAACTTAGCTCTTTTGACATCACCTATGCACCGAAGGTATCTCACAAGGGGCAGTCGGTAGCGGATTTCCTACTAAAGTACAAAGATCAACCTGAGGAACTGACACTTCCAGAGCCATATTGGGAGTTACGAGTTGATGGCTCGTCCAACCGGAAAAGGGCAGGGGCCGGTATTGACATCACAACACCCGAGGGTACCAAGCTGCAGCAGTCAATTCTGCTAGATTTCCCATCTACTAATAACGAGGCCAAGTATGAGGCAATGCTCGCCGGACTTCGGCTAGCTAAACAGCTACAGGTATGATGTTTAAAAGTTTTTAGTGATTCACAGCTTGTGATCAATCAAGTGACAGGGCAATATTCTCCCAAGGAGGAACGTATGAAGTCATACAAAGATGCTGTAGAGAGTGCTATCCGAGAGTTCGATCAAATCGAGTTCCATCAGGTACCACGAGATGAAAATGCCGAAGCAGATCGATTGGCCGCAGCCGCATTGTCTTCAGATGAAGAATTGATTCGGCTTGTTCCAATCGATGTTCTCGAAGGACCTAGCATTAATCCCCAGCAAGAGGTGATGGTGATCCCGGAAGTACCAAGCGAGCCCTGCTGGATTGATCCAATCGAAGCCTACCTCAAGGAAGGGGTTCTCCCGAATCAGAAAGCTGAGGCAAGGAAGCTTAGGCTTACCGCGGCTAAGTATGCCATCATCAATAACCAGTTGTACCAAAGGTCATTCTCCGGTCCCTATCTCAAGTGTGTAACCCCTACTGAGGCTCTCACAATTCTAAAACAAGTTCATGAAGGAGATTGTGGAAACCACTCCGGAGGAAGATCCCTTGCACACAAAATTCTGACCCAAGGTTATTTCTGGCCATACTTGGCTCGGAATGCCGAGGAATACTCAAGACGATGTGACAAGTGTCAGCGTCATGGTCCAATAAAGCACCAACCTGCCGAGGGTTTGCACGCCATGGCTAATCCATGGCCGTTCGCCCAATGGGGGATTGATATAGTAGGACCATTGCCCAAAACCATGGACAAAAAGGAGCATGTGCTTCTGGCTACGGATTACTTCACCAAGTGGGTGGAAGCTGAAGCCTTCTCTAGCATCACCCACGAAGAAGTAAAGCATTTCATTTGGAGCAACATTATTTGCCGGTTTGGGGTACCAAAAGTCATCGTAATGGACAATAGTAAGAACCTCGATAACAGAAGTACAAGGAAATTCTTTAGCGAACATGGAATCTTGCAAAAGTTGGCTGCAGTTAGTCATCCACAAGGCAATGGGCAAGCTGAAATAACTAATCGCACGATATTCGGGTGCTTAAAGAAAAAATTGGAGAAATTGAAGACAAAGTGGTACGAGAATCTCCCTCAAGTGCTTTGGGCCTATCGAACCACTCCAAGACGACCCACGGGAGAAAGCCCATTTGCTATGGCATATGGGTCCGAAGCTGTCATTCCTACCGAGTCCATAATCCCAACCCTTCGGACATCCTTGGTGCTGGAGGGGAACAATGAGCAACAACTCGAACATAGCCTTGATTTGGTGGACGAAAGAAGAGATGCAGCAGCAATTCGACTCGCGGCATACCAACAACAGGTGTGTAACAGTTATAACAAACGCGTCAGGATCAGGAGTTTTGTGGTAGGCGATTGGGTGTTGAAGCAGGAGACAGCTCATGTAAAGAAACTGGAACCTCATTGGACCGGACCCTACAGAGTTACCGAAGTAGTGGGGAAAGGAGCATATCGTTTGGCCGAAGCTGGCGGACGCCCCATTGCGCGGCCTTGGAACACAATACACCTGAAAAGGTATTTCCATTAGTTAAGTTTGTCAATTTTGCTATAAGTTCTTCACAAATAAGGCTGAATATGTCCGCAGTCAGCCAAACTTTTCTTTATTTTGCTTCTCTATTCAATATTACTCTCCTCTGTTTTTGTTTCTTTTTATAAAAATGGGGAGTCATACGAACTCTATGATTACGCAATTTTTATGCGCATGCCAAGTCGCACTATGCGTTAGAAGCAAAGCATTTACAATGATTTTTACAAAACAATGATTTTTACAAAACAAAAACAAAAACGAATAAAACACAAACACAAAAACCAACAAGCACACAAGACACAAAACACATGAATTATGGCCTGTGCTTAAAACTTTCTATCCCACATCGATAAAACAGTATGTGCTACATTATGTTATATACGGGAATATTCAAATAGTTAATTACGGTGTAAGGAGGGCCCACTGGTATTTAAAGTTGTCAAGCTCAATACCAGAGGCATTCCTTACACCGACTTTTTTGACAAAATTTAGTCTATGTCCCACATCGGATAGAAATAGAGAATAAATGCGGTTCATATATGCGCGGTCCACAACATTTGGCTGCCAAGAAGGGAGTATCAGTGGAGGCAGGTCTCTAAAGTCGACAAATGGAGAACTTCACAGCCACTGTTACTCGCTTTCTTGGCCTCCTATCATTTTTGAGTCTTTAGCCTCATAATAAGTGATTTGAGGAAAAATATAAAATAAACCTCCCCTCAGGCTCAGTGCCGGGGAGTAATTCATTCGCCTCGGACCTCAAGTGTCCGGTTCGGCACAACCTCCCCTCAGGCTCAGCACCGGGGAGTAGTTCTCTCGCCTCGGACCCTAAGTGTTCGGTTCGGCACAACCTCTTCTCTCGCCTCGGACCCTAAGTGTCCGGCTCGGCAAAACCTCCCCTCTGGCTCAGCGCCGGGGAGTGATTCATTTAAACCTCCCCTCGGGCTCAGCGCCGGAGAATAGGTCATTCGCCTCGGACCCTAAGTGTTCGGCTCGGCGAAAATCTCGCCTCGGACCCTACGTGTTCGGTTCGGCAAAACCCCCCTCCGGCTCCACGCCAGGGAATGTATAATTCGCCTCGGATCCAGAGTATCCGAGCCAGCTTCGGACCCCAAGTGTCCTATTCAGCAATATTCCTCCACACTCAGTGCCGAGGGATAAATTCGCCTCGGATCCCGAGTATCCGAGACAGTTTCGGACCCTAAGTGTCCTATTTAGCACTAGTCCTCCACACTCAGTGCCAAGGAGTAATTCGCCTTAGATCTCTGATGTCCAGATCAAAACTCTTTCCTCCGGACTCTAAGTGTTTAATACCTTGTGTATGCGGATATGTCATAAGTTCATCATACTCCACATCAGGAACACATGAGAAGGAAAGAGTATGTATACTTCTACTGAAGGCAAATGAAAGGCAAGGAGGGTCCATTTAACAGTTAAATCATTGTCCATACGAATCATCCTGCGATATCAACTAAACTGTTAAAAGGATCTCCTTCTTCTCACAATCCTTGCGTTTTCACGGATAGCATAAATCCGAAGCATAAAGACAATGTTTAATGTTTAAACACATTACCAAACAGAGAAATATAAACAGTATCAAGAACATACAACAAAAGCAAGTCAGACGAGCCTAAAACAAAAAGGTATATTCATTATCCAAGCTGTTCATAAAAACAAAGTACAGGGCTCTACTTCCTCTTCGGATCGAAGGGAGTAGATTCAAAAGCATCCACTACATTAGGACTTGAGGTAGGAGGAGTTGAAGCCGCAGGAGCAGGGGAGCTGGGAGTACCCTTCAGATGTGCCTTCACCATCTCGGCAAAGCGGATTTCAGCTTCCAAAGCCTCTGGCCCTTCATCATATGGGAAGTGCACCCCCACTTTCTTGTCAAAGGCGTCCGGATCCATCGTCTTAGGGCCTGAACCCTGATTAAAGCCAGACCGGAACGCTTTAGCACTAGCCAAGTGCGCCAGACAGGAGTAGCGCCCTTGCATTTGCTTTCCCGCCTTGAAGCAGGTAGTAAGAGCCTCGGTCAGGCGTTGAACCTCGGCCTGAAGAGAATCCACCTTAGCCTCAGAGGCTGACAACTGCCTCTTGTACGCATCCTTGGCTTCAGAAGCTATCTTCAGATTGGTAGAGGCAGTAGTGGCTCTCTTCTCTGCATTTTCAAGATCCTTTTCCAACTTCTTGATGGAGAGGGATTGAGCTTCTGCAGTGGCGCAGAGGGCCATGGTATGGTATAGACTCTGTTTAACAGGGAAGTACATATAAGCATAAAGAGAAACATAAGCAAGCAACAGTAACTTAAGGTTGAAGGAGCAATGCGAACCTCTATAGCCCGGACTAGGGCAGAGGGGAGTAGTTGCTCCAACCCCATTTGGCTGATGGCTTCCTCGTCCTTTGGGAGCCACATTCCTCGAGCCACCGCCAGTGCAGCTGAAGGGTCTGTAACCACAGAATCCCTTGAGTGCAGGACTGACCTGTCAGCCCTGGTGAAGGAAGGAGTCCAAGGAGCCCCAGCCTCAGCAAGAAAGGCCCTGACTTCATCTTCAGGTTCTGCCTCTCCAGCCTTTTTCCCTCTGCTTTTAGAAGGGACTTTGCCCCTGCCAGAGGAAGAGGGGTTGAGGCGAGATTTCTTCAATGGCGGTTCCTCAACCTCCACCTCATCCTTAGTTGATCCAATGACGACCAAGGGTTGGGCATCTTCGGCTTTCTTTTTTAAAGCCTCAGCCCTCCGTATCTCCTCCTCAGTCATAGGGAAACTGTCAAAGGATGGTAGAGACAGATCCATGAGGTCTGCAGCAACGGCACTGGAAGCAATGTCCTTGAGGTTTGAAGAGGTTAGCAGGTCCTCGATAGGCGAGGGGTCACTCCAGACTCGTTCCTCAAGAAAAGAAAGTCTGTTCCTTGCTGCGGAGGCTGGGAATGTAGCTGAAAAAACACCAAGAAATTCATAAATATGGCGAAATATTAAGACTTGGCAAGGAAAACAGCCAGAACACTTGGTATGAAGGGAGGTTAAATATTCTATACCTAATTTCCCGAATTTGCGTGGGATGGGAAGCGCAATTGATTGGGACACGAACCATTTTCCTTTAACTACAACCATCCTTTCTTTCCATTTCTTTTCGGATGAAGGAAGGTTCGTGTATATCCTTTGATAAAGGGGAGAGGTAAAAAAGAAGCGACCAGGCTCGGTCCCATGCTTAGATATATTGTAAGTAAGCAGAAGGTCGGCATGGGTCAAATCCAGAGCCTCTAATTTTCGGCGCACCAACAATGCCGAAAGGATGCGAAAGAAATTGGGATTTACTTGAAGGGGGGCAAGACCTAGCTTATTGAAAACTAAATGATAGAAGGGATGAAGAGGGAATCGGAGGGCGTTAAGGTGCCCTACCGAAAGAAGCAACTCATCCTCCTCAATTCCCTCGCCGGAGGTGAAATCAGCACCCTCGGGATATTCTACAATTTCTACTCCTTCAGGAACATCAAATTCTTCCATTACCGAAGCAATAGAGAATTTGATGCGGCGAATAGAGATGATTGCTTTCTTCTCTTCATGGGTAAGAACGTAATCAGAGCCTGAGGTGGATGTTTCGGTTGGAAGAGGGGAAGTACCTGATGGATTCGACGAAGGGCGATCTGTAGAAACCCTAGGAGGGGGAGCCCTAATGCGAATGGGAGAGGATGAAGGTGTGGATTCAGAATCCCCAAGGTCTGCACGTTCGGGAGTAGATGAAGTACTCATAATGAAAGATTGAAGAGAAAGATGCGAAACTAACCTGACAAAGCGATGGAAGCGATGGAATGAAGGACGCAGAAGTGCAGCAAGGGCAAATGTAACTCTTGCAGAGTCTTGTGTGACGGATTAATAATGAGAGATCACGAACCGTTTCTGAAGCAAATAAAAACCGGTTTCAATTCCCTCTTTAATAGGAGCCGTCACTCAATTAAAAATGGAATTTGGGGCAAAGTGTGGAGGGAAAAACTCCCTCCAATAAAAAACGCACACATCACCACCACACATATCTACATTCCAAGGCCATTTAAGGCCCATCATGTTCAAGCCCAAATTGAGCATACTTACAGCCCAAGACCATTATAATTTGTCCTCCAACTTCCATCAAGGCCGGATCAAGAAAAAGTCATCAGCCCAGCTTATGAGTATTTACCATCCGGCCTGTTATTCAAGCCCAGCCGGACCAAAATATATTCAGCCCAAGAATGCACAAATCCTACCATTTGAAGGATTTACTGTAGAAGGAAAATTCGGATAGGAAGTTCTGTACAAGGCAATTTCTATGTATGGAAGATTCAACAATGGAAAGAACTCTATTAGAAAAGAATGGCTATATAGAAAGAATTGGAGGGCAAGCAACGCGAGTCCTACCATAATTTTGCAATCTTTTGTATATAAATAGAGGCTAAGACCTCCAATAAAGGATCAAGCAATTCACACTTCTCTATACATTATTCTTATTTATTTCTGTTGTTTTTGAGTGAGTTGTTTTATTTTTCTCAATCATTATTGGTTGAGCGAAATTTTGCACCTACACTTACCCATGGATAGTTTTATATATATAAAAGGAAAGTAATTAATTAATTAATATTATTGTAATTTAGTACTAATAATCTGATGTATATATTTTATATGTCTGTGTAATAAGGATATACATAGATTATGTATATCCTTATATTTTTAGTTACCTTTTTAATATTTTAATTTTATTATTTTCTTTTATTAAGTTGACTTGGATTGGGAAGATGATTAGGTTATTTTATTTAACTTATAAATATATAAATATAGGTTAGTAAAAGGGAGTTAGAAATTAAATCACGTAGTATATTTTTTAGAAAAAAGGCAGAGAGTTTTGAGAGAGAAAGAAGGAAGAAAAAGAAGGAAAAAAGGAAGAAGGAGACTAGGGTTTTTATCAAAATCCTTAAGGCAAGTTCTTTTCTTCTCTTCTCCTTTGATTCATATTAAATTGAGAGCATTTGAACAACTAATGAAGATTTTATTTAATATTTTTCTTAAGTGAAAGATTAATTCATGTTTCCTTAACTAGTTTGAAATCAATTTGTGTTAGCATATTATATTAGGCCCTAGCATGCTCTTCAAAATAGGTGAATTCGAGAGTAATTGGAGGTGTTTTAAAATCTAGAAAATATTTAATTAATTGATTAATTAATTTATTCCATGTGTACTATTTACTTCATTTGAATTCCCACTTGATATTATTGATGTGTATGCCATATACTTTCACATATATTAAATCTAGAATATTTGATTAGGCTTTGAAACCTTTCATTTATTATTTTTCTAGTATTAAAGTTTAATACTCATGGTCGTATCTTGCTTAGAAGTCACTTGTATCATACTTTTAAATCAAGTCTTGACATGTTGTATAACGCACATTAATTTGAGATCATTTGGACTTGCCTTGTAGTCTTGATAATTTAATCCACTAAGTAGATTAAATTTCCTTTTTATGCTTCCTTCGAATTAATCATGCCTTGATATTGAATTATTGTTAAACTTGTGAATTGGACTTGTGTTTCATGGACCCTTGTCTTTTTATCAAGTATCATGACTTCTTGTAACTTAGTTTTATTAATGTACTTAATGAATATGCACATTTTTCTTGGAATGGTTTAATTACACATGTGTTGTTTAGTATGTAATCGAATCATATATCTTATACTTGTGGTATATTTATTTCAATAGATTTCTTGTGCGATATATCTTGGTTCTAGTTTATATAGATGCACATTATGATTTCTTGATAATTCGCATGCCATTGTAGTTGAGAACTTAGGGCATGACTTGTGTGTTCCAAAATATTGGTTGTGCATGAAACGTGGTTAATGCATTTCTTGTATTTTGATACTATCTTGACTTGCACAACTTGTTGATTTTGGGAGTTGGGATATCAATAAAAAATTGACATGGCTAGGACTTGGTTCTAGTACGGGAGATAGAGAGTTCCCTACACTATAGTGCGCACTAGGGGAAGGTATCTATGGGTTAGTAACCCTAAAGTGATCCCAAGAGTACGGTTTTAATCCGGGCGATATCCGAGTTTCCACATTGGTTGATTTCACTCTTTAAATTTCAAGTTGCTATTCCTTGAAGATTTTAAACTTGTCGTGATATGTGAAATGCTCCAATCTTGTTTAGTTGCATAGATATTATGCCTTGTTTATGATTTCATGTATAACTCTTTTCGTGCTTCATGGAATATTCATCCTTGTTTTATTGCATAGATATTATGCCTTGTCCTTGATTTCATGTATTACTCCTATCGTGTTAATTGGTATGTTCTAATCGTGTTAATTGCATTGATAAGGTGATTCTTGTAATCTAGTATTCTCTTGTCGTGTTGTATGGATTATTCCAAACCTTACTTAATTGTATTAAAAATGCAATTCATGTTGATTTGTACTCAAGTATCCTTCTTGTCGTGTTTTTTGGATTATCCCAACCTTGATTCGTTTCATATATGTATATATATCATGATTCTTATTGATTTACACTCTAAGATAGCTTAGGATGATCCTTGAGTCTCACTTTGGCATAGACGTTAGGTGACATGATCATTTTTGAAGTGTTTCATGTTAATCTAAAAATCTGAAAGAAATCGAGTCGATGCATGCTCATTCTCTATGAGTAAACTTGTTTACTCACCCTGAAGTTACTGGGGGATTTATTCAGGTACAGGATTCAAGACTCGGAGATTTGTACTTGCCTTAGGTGATTTAGAGATTTGAAGTTTCTTTTAATTCATTCTTGTTTATATGCAAGTGTTAGCATGTTCAAGTTTTACCTTTAAAGTTGTAATACTTAGTTTGATTCAATATCCCATTTTTTGCCTAATGACATGTAAAGTGTACTTAAATACACTATTTGGTACCTATTTGATATGTATGACATGAGGCCAAGGGCCACAAACTTGAAAGTTCAAGTGTATGTATTTAAATTTCAAGTTTTGCATTTAAAATGTATTTTTACCAACCTTGGAGGTTTGATATGTAAAATCTTGTAAATGTTATGCAATGAGACCATGGGCCATTGTAACACACTCCAACACTTAAAGTACGCTTGTTGGCATGCTTACATAGCTTAAAATCATGTTTTTGGACCAATCTCATGTTGGGGTTTGAGGCTTGGGTGAAGCCTCAACAATTCTTGTTCATAGCAGACCTTATAACAGCTTTTCGAGGTGTTTCGGTCGACCAAAACTCCATTTTGGTCAACCGATGGCTTTTGGGATCTTCATTGCACAGTAAATCATCAATTCCAGTAGCCATTTTCACTGTTCAGGACCATTCCGGTCGACCGATGGTTTATTTCGGTCGACCAATGGTTCATTTCGGTTTACCGAACCAACCTCCTCCCTGCAAAACATGTGTTTTCAACATAATTTTTTCCAGTTTGGTCAACCGAAACTCTATTTCGGTCAACCGAAATAGCTTGTTTTCATACAGCTACTTAAATATGTTTTAACATCGAGGTTTCGACTTCAAACGGCTATATCTTCTTCATTTCTAACCCAAATGGGTAGATTCTTGAGCCTGAATTCATGGATTTTGAGTCAGATTTCCACTGGTACCTATGCCATTCTCAGATTCAAATCACAGTGGGAGTTATTTATGTTTTAGTGAGACAGTGTCATATTTTGTTTAAACCGGAAAAGGGCATTTTGTGGTATTCTTGTCCAATGTTCTTAGAACCTCTTGGAATGTTCTAAAATGATTAGTTTAGGTTGTGTGGACCTTATTTGACTTGCTTAGAGTCAAATTTCCCTTCTTGTTTGTGAATTGACCATTTTGCCCTTGGTTAACGGGCTTTGCTCGTTTCTTTTCATTTTGTTATTTCTCTTTCGTTCGAACTCCGAATCATGCGATTCTTGAGTCCATCTTGATTAGATTCTTGGTGGCACCCGAATCCATAGTTTCTGAAGTGACCATTTTGCCCCTAGGGGCTTACTTGTCATAATTCCGATCTTTTGTTTCCGCGTCAGTTCTTATTGAGTTCTATGACCTCATGGAAGGTCATCAAAGTGTCTTAGAGGTGTGTAGTGCCTTGGGAGACCATTGTTTTAGTTTCTTGCTTCCGCATCAGGATCCGTTAGCGGGTCAATCTTCGGTTCATCACTGACCTACCGGGTTGAATAAAAACTCGGGTCGTTACATAATGTTTGTGGGTATCATTTCTGGAAACCCTCACGAGACTTCACTCATCCACTTGGGGTAACCTAGGGGTTTAAAAGGCTTGCTGCATATGCTAAATGCAATCGTGTTCCCTACGAAAGTGGCGTTATCCATTTATTGTTTTCTAGTTCATAGTTGTATAGTTGTTCATTTCATTCCTGTACTTTGTAATTCATTCATATGGACTAGCAATATTTAAGTTTGGGGGTGTGATGAGCGTTGAAAAGTGCGCATTTAAACCCCTTAAGCTTAAGTATTCTAGGACCTTTATCTATCTTATTTCCCCATTTTATTCTAATTTCATGTTATTGCCCTTTTCAGGCACTTATCCCAAAAAAAAAGTTAAATCAGCCAAATAAGAGCTTAAAAGATGCTAACTCAAGTTGGATGGAAGAAAGGAGCAAAGTGGAAGTAGAATGAAGCAAAGTGTGGAAATTTAGCATGTTCGATCGATCTCAACATTTCTTCGATCGATCGAAAGT